TGTACCATTTTACATTCCCACCAGCAATACACAGAGTTCTAATTTCTCCAGATCCTCACCAACACTTGTTGTTTCTGTTTTTTGATAATAGCCATCCTACTGGCTGTAAGGTGGTATCTCATTGTGGTTTTGATTTGCATTTCCCTAATGAGCATCTTTTCATGTGCTTATTGGCCGTTTGTGTATCTTCTTTGGAGAGATGTTAATTCCAGGCCTTCACCCATTTTTAATCAGGTTGTTCGTTTATTTGTTGTTGAGTATTAGGAGTTCTCTACATATTCTGGATATCAATCCCTTATCAGATACATGATTTGCAAATATTTTCTCCCATCCTGTAGGTTGCCTTTTCTTCTGTTGATAGTGTCCTTTGATACACAAAAGTTTTTAATTTTGATGAAGTACAACTTATCTATGTTTTTCTTTTGTTGCCTGTGCCTTTGGTATCATAGCCCAGAAATTATTGCTAAATCCATCATCATGAAGTTTTTCTCCTATGTTTTCTTGTAAGAGTTTTACAGTACTAATCTTCCATTAGGTCTATGATCCATTTTGAGTTAATTGTTGTATATGGTGTGAGGTAAGGGCCCAACTTCTTTTTTTTGCACGTGGATATCCACTTTTGGGAAGATGTACTTAGATGCCAAAGAAAACAAGTCACGCTTTGCAAGACAAATCCTCCACTCAGGGCTGCATGCCTCAGTTACATCACCCCACTCAAGGCCCAGATTCCTGACCTCGCACAGATAGGTCTGGATCGGGCTCTGTCCTGCTCTAATCCTGAAGGATCCTAGTTAGCTGCATATGTAACGGACAGCACAGGGAAGGAAGGTGACCGGCAGAGTGGAGACCGGTGGGCAGCGGGTTCTGAGCAGCCTCCCTGCTCTGCTGGTTCATGGACAGGCTGGGACAGGGGAGGCGTGAGGCTCCCTCAGTGCCGCACCCTGCTCCTGGCCCTGTCCTATGATCTCAGACAGCTTAGCGAAGTCCGAGGCCCCAGGTGTAAAACGGGGAACAATATTTGTCTCGCATGGGTTATTGTGCAGATGAATGAGAAAATGGAAATAGTATTAGTCCCTCTTCCAGCAGCTGCTGGAAGTTTCCATGAAACTTTTCCTATCTCCCTAGGTAAACTGAGCACACCTTTGTCTGTCTCCCAGTTGTGTCCTGGTGACATCCCCAGAGCACCTGGGAACTTTGTAGGGCTTGGGACCCCCGCCCCACGAGGCTGAGCCTTCCTTTCTCTCCGGGAAAGTCTCGCCAGCATTAAGTCCACATCCACCCTGGCGCAGCACTGTCACAGCGCAGTGGGTGTCGGGGTGTCACTTCATGTGCTCGTGAGAATGCAGATTCCCAGCTCAGGAAGGACCAGGTGACTGGAACGCTGCACTGCTTTAACTACACAGACCTTGACCGCTCCACCTCTGGTGACTGCTGCTTCTGTTCCAGGCCAACCACCTAATTCCACGGCCATATCAAGGACTTGGCTACTGCCCCCAACAGCTCCACTTCTGGAATCCTCCTTTCAAACATCTCGTGCCTGGTACCACAACCTCCTACCCTGCCGGTTCTCTCCCTTGGTGACTGCATGAGCCCCACCTCACAGTACCTCTGCTTTCCCTCCATTCCCAGCTCAGTGAGGTGACCGGTCCTGAGCCCGCTCCTTTCTTGGGGAGCCCACCAGGCCTCAGAGTGGTGGCAGTCCTGAGGCTCTGCCTCCCGAAGGGTGGTCCTGGGCCATCTCCATCGGATCCACCTGCAGAGAGCTCGCTCTGCGCTGGGGCCTGGGCTTTGTTCCCACAGACAACTCTTACTTCCCCAGCGGCCTGGGTGTACATCAGATGCTAATTGCCTTGGTCAGGCTGTTCTGGAAGCTAGAACTGAAAGACCACCTAAGGCCAGGCTGGGCCCCCACAAGAGGCCCCTTTGGAGAAGACAGAAGCACGCGCAGGTAAGAAGCCAGGGGCCTTGGAGAGACGGTGGCCTCCTCCCGTCTCTGCATTTCTAGTTCCAGGCTCCTATCCCAGGCTGAGCTCCCTGCCTGTTAAATACTGTCTGTAATGAAAACAAGGAAGGCACAGCCGGGTGGGGCACATGTGTGCACTGGCGTGAACCTGCACCCAGGGCTGGGCTGTTCACAACCAGAGTCCTCTACCAAATCCAGCTTCCTGGATGCGTACAAGCTCTGTCGTGTCGACCTGAGTGGGCCTCCGCTGACATGGGGTGTCTGGGTGTCCGGAACCACGCGGCCCAGCCCTGCATGAAGGGGTGAGACCCCAGCACAGTGGCGTCTAGAAAGCTCCTGAGCTCAGCAGGCGGAGGGGGTCCCGCCAGGAGATAATGCTGGGCTGGCCCTGGAGGGAAACTCTGAGGCCCATGCTGGAGGAAGGGCAGAGGCTCCAGAAGCCATGGTTTCCCGCCTGCGGGATGTGGGCGCCCTGCCCAGCACCTCCCACATCCGGAGACTAGAAGATTCTCCCAAGAACCTGGCAGGGGTGCTTCAGCCAGACCGGCTCTCTGAGAAGACCTTTGAATAATTTCCCTGCTTCCTCCTTAAATTAGCTTGAGTGAGTTCTGGTCCTTGAAACTCACGTGTGTTTCTGCTGGAAAACACCACCGGCTGTGACTCATGGCCCTGCTTGCCAAGCAGGTTTTCCCTGTGTCCTCAGCAGCCACCTTCTTGGGCACAGGCCCCGCCGGGGAGAGAACACCGTGACCATCCTGCAGTGAGGCCTCCTCTCTCCTCCTCTGGGCAGAAGGCCTCCCCGCCCCCTTCACGGAGCAACCAGAAGCCGTTGGACAGGATTCCTCATAGGGAACCATCCTTAGGGAGGAGCTGGGAGCCCCAATGCTTAGCCAGTGACCCTCCCTGCCCAACCCCCTCTTCCCCTAAATAGTCCAGAGCTAAAGTCCCCCTCCCACACTCACCACCCTAGAGGTCACACAGCTCTCCCTTCTTTCTCAGCTCTGCTCAGAGGAAAAAAGAGACAGATGCTAAAAAGACATGAAAAGCGGCAAAATAGACATGGTTTTAAAAAGTTATTTTAAGAGTTTTATTGAGATATAATTCACATACCATAAAATCCACCCATTTAAAGTGTACAATTCAATGATTTTCAGTATATTCACAGGGTTGTGCAACCATCACACAATCTAATTTTAGAATACTTTTGTCCCCCAAGAAAGGAAACCCCTTAACTATTGAGCTTCTCCCCCTTCCCCCTCCTCCCCACAACACTCAGCAACTTCCCATCTCCTGTCTGTCTCCGTGGATTCACCAATTCTGGGAATTTCATATACACGGATCTCTACAGCATGTGGCCTTTTGTGACTGGCTTCTCTCACTGAGCACAATGTCCCCAAGGCTCATCTTTGTCCTAGCAGGTGTCAGTGTCACTCCTTCTTATGGCTGGGTAGTATTCCACCATACAGATGGACCACCTTTTGTTTACCCATTCATCTGTTGATGGACATTTGGGTTGCTTCCACCTTTTGGCTACTGTTAACAATGCTGCTATGAACATACATGTATACGTTTTTGTGTGGACACATGTTGTCATTTCTCTTGGGTGTATACGAGGTAGAACCGAGGTTATATGTTAACTTTATGTCTAACTTTCTACGGAACTGCAGACTGTTTTCCACGCTGGCTACCAATCCTACATCCCCCAGCAGTGGCTGCAGGCTCCAGCTCTGCACATCCTTGCCAACACTTGTTACTGTCTGCTTTGATTCTGGCCATCGCAGTGGGTGTGAAGTGGGAGCTCGCTGTGGTTTTGAGTTGCATTCTCCAGGTGACTAACCACGCAGGGCGTCTTGCATACATGGCCATGTTTCATGAAAAAATTCAGCAACTTGGACGTCCACATGTTGTTGCTCCCCAGGCCCCTGGGACTTTAGGGCCATCATAGACAGACACAGCCCTGCCCCACAGAGCTTCCTGTCCAGAGGGGTACAGACACATACACAAAACAGGTACTTGCTAAAACAAGGTCTTGGGGGATGACCCATGAGGTGACCCAGGAGCCACAGTCCACTTGGCAGAAGGGAAGGGTTGTGAGGTCCTTCTTCCAGATCTCCAATAAAAGCGGAATCCAGGTGTGAATGTTGGCTGTGTTGGAAATTGGTCCCAGAACACAGCCACTCTTAATTTTAAAGTTGACCGTAGAAATGGCAGATTCCGAGAGAGAGGACAACGTCTCCCGACGGGTGATCACAGGGCCGGGTCCGAGGTATGCATTTGGGCTGTGTGGGCAGCAGCCAGATCACCCCATGATCCCCCATTAGAGAAGTGACAACATAGTATAAAAACTGGTGGAACATAAGACAGAAAGGGGCAGGGTGGGCACAGGGGCTGGGGGAGGGCGTGGGGTTGCTGTTTAATGGGGCGGAGCTTCAGTTTGGGAAGATGAAGGAGCTCTGCGGGTGGAAGGTGTGATGGCTGCACCATGTGAACCTACTTAACGCTGCTGCACTGCACACTTCAAGACCGTTAAGATGGTAAATTTTACATTGTCTATGTTTTACCATAATAATAATAATTAATAATAATAAAGAGATCGTAGTCCCTCTCTGCCTACCTTTCATCTCTGATGCAATGGAAGCAAAGCAAACCAGCGCTGTGCAGGGCAACCTGCGAAAGCCAGCGGGTGGCCTTATCCCCGCAGAGGGTCCCAGCTGCCGCCCCAGGGACAATGACCATGGGGGACGGAGCGGCCGCCCTCACCTGGCACCTCCCCTTGTCTCCTCCCAGGACCTGCTGGGTAGCGTTCTGCGTCCCGAGCAGACAGCCGCGCCGGCGCAGGAATTCCCTTCTGGGCGCTGAGCTGTCCGGCCGCGGTCCAGCGCCCCGCGTCAGGCGCATCGAGGTTCGCGTCCTCCCCTCTGCGGACCCGGCGCTGAAGCAGCCCCGCCGCGCCCATCGCTGCCGGGACCAGGCGGAGCGAGGCGGCGCTGACCACCAGAGCCGCCGGGCCCCCTGGGCCCACCTGGACTCACCTGGCCCACCCGACGCCCTGGGGTACATGGACGCGCGGGGACCGGAAGCCCCCAGCGGGGGCGCGCTGCGGGACGCGGTGAGTGGGGACCCCCGCGCCCCCTCCCGGATCGTGCGTCCTCCCAGGTCCGGGGACTGAGGGTCTGGACGTGGGGGCTGGGCCGCTCCCGCCGAGGGAACAGAGGACATCCCACCCCGCTCCCCACCCCCGCAGCAAACCTGGCCTGCTTCCCTTTCCCCAAGGGGTTCCAGCGCCGACAGGACGACTGGTGACCGGGAAGCAGCGCTTAAAGGGTGATCAGTTTGTCTTGTCGAAAAGAATTTATTACATGAGAACCCTGACCGCGAAGGGGGAGCTGTGATGGAGGCCGTGCTTCCCGGAGGATCGCAGGCTCTAGACGGAGCCCGCTCTCCCGAGGGAGGCGGACGGCCCGGCTGCAGGAGGGCACCACACGTAGTGGTCTGAGATCTCAGTCGTAGACTACATGTGCCCGCTGTCGGTCACAACAGGGATATTTCCATACGGTACACAGTTTCCGCAGTCCCAGTCCCCGCTAATAAAGACCCAGAGTGTCAGGGAGGCGGTGCCCACGCGCGTGTGCTCTGCATGGCTGCTTTAGCTCTACTGAGGAACTCCTTGAGGAACCCCAGGTCACCAAGACTTTCTCCTGCTTTATCTTCCGGACATCTGACAGTTTTGGCGCTTCCATTTAGGTGCACTTCTGTGTATGGGATGAGGTAGGGTTAGGCCTGCTTGTTTATTTAGCTATGCCTTTGGTGATCTCACTGTTCCAGCACTGTTTGTAGAAAAGATTTGCCTTACCCTTTGAATGGAAAGGCCTCAGCACCTGGTCAGAAATCACCCAACTACACGTGTGGATAGTTCTATCCCACCATGCTCAACATGCCCTCCGTCAAGAGTAAGTGTTATGTTCAGTTGTCTTATGGTTCACTTTTTCAGGCAGAAAATCTATTTCAGGAACTTCAAGAACATATTCAAGCTCTGATTGCAACACTAAACCTCAGAAATATCCTTTCCCGTCTTATAACAAACAGTGTAACGCTTCTGGGCTGTTACCTCATCGTGGAATACCATTTTGTTGTCTGACCTGGGATTTCCTGGTGTCTGCATCTGTACCTTTACATGGCACCTGATGTGCTCACTTCCACTCCTGGGTGATAACTACCTGCCTGACCAGCAGGACAGGGCGTTTGGTATGGCAAGGATAAAACCGAGGGACAAAATGTACAACACTACCCCACAGGGCTTTTCCATCAAGCCCTGAAGGAGTCTGGATAGTCTGCTCAACAACCTTTATCCTCTGCCAAGCGATCAGAAACCTGCAGAGTCACAGGGAAGGTCTCCAACACGGGGTGCCACTGTGGCTCTCTCTGCCTTTGTTTTCTTGGTAACTCCAGCAGCTCACTGTTCTGTTAAGACATGAATTCAAGCCGACTTGGAACAGAATGTGTTTGCAGGTTGAGCAAATCTTCAGAGAAGGGTAACCTCTGCCTGAAGACTTACCCAACCTGAGCTCTCTTTACACAACTAAATTCATTCCCTAAAAACTGTGTGCAAAGTATTTGCATATGGAACCATTTACTAGCAACTTTGGATTCTGTGGATGGGTTCCCACAGGGAAAAAAAGATTCTTAAACATGGTAAAATTAAACTGCAGAAAAGTTGGTTTTAAACCAAGTTAATTTCCATTTATTTACATACTCATTAGAGTTTGGTGAAAACATAGTTAAACATACCAGACAAACTCATATCCCCGAACCCGTGTCCCTGCAGGGGAGCCAGGTTTTCAGAACCGAGCTCACAGTTTTAACCTTTTAAGGTTAAAGACACACTACAAAAACCTTGGAAAAGCGGCTAACGTGCACTGACCTTAAGGTATTAGGACATGCCCTCATTTTGAAAGTTGCACTGCTGGGGCGTCTTTATACGTCCCTGTGACAAGTACGTGCAACTTGAAGCCGGGTCTTCGAGGGTTTTCTGTCTAGGCGCCCTGACCTCATGTGCAATTCTCCTTAACATCACACTGGAAGAAATGGGAAATCGCCTTGAGGACTTACAGAAGAATGTAAATGACTTAATGGTGCAAGCCGGGATTGAAAATTCTATTAAAGGACAAATGGTAAGGACATTATTCGGAAACTAAATATGTTCGCCTTTTGCATATCTTTTGATTGCTTTCATCTAAAAAATACAATCCTATACTGTTCACTATGGGAATTACTGTCTCTGTACTACAGGAAAAACCTTCAGGAATAAGAAAACACATTTATAAATGCTCTTTTCTAAATAGAACTGAATCACTGTTTTTCATAATTCCTTAAAAAGTGCACATTTTAAATGAAAAATTCTATTATTTAATAATTGGATTTCACCCCCACCCCTCAAATTAGTCTTCAATCAAAACACAAGTCACGATGAATTAGGGAGTAGGGGTTATAGCCAGTAGTTTCTGTTGAGACAATATATTCGTGTAACCATTTAAAGAAGACACATGCACATTAAGCCTTCAACCCGTTTCATGAGTGGTGGCTGAGGACCCCACCCAGACCCCACAATGCAAACACTTCTTTTCCAGGGGAATTTTGCACTTAATCTTGAAGATGCAAATAAATACTTAGCTTCAGGTCTCAGGCTGGATTTCTGTCCATGGGACATATACGGAGACACACAACTTTATTTTATTAAGATGCTTATGTGTATTTTCCTGATATAATATTCTGATTATGAGCATATTTTAACGGAACAATTAGATGCCTCTTTCTTCTTTCCTTTCCCATTTCTCTGACAGTTGTTATCCTGGGTCAGCTGGCAGATTACCCACACTTATCTTGCTAGGTCAGAGCTAGTTCACCTATCAGGGACATAAATATCTATGTCTGGTATTCTGGTAAAAGAGATAATGGGAACCTGTGTCCTGTTACCCACGGGCTGCAGAGCACTGAGGTGGCACGCTAAAACTCTGTCCAGAGGGTGAAAAATACAGCTTCCCCTGCCTGGAGCCTCAGTCCTCCCGAGGCGTCCATGCTCTGAGGGCTGATCTGGTGATAAGCCAGGGCCTGAGGGCAGGGGCCACGTGGCAGTTCCTGCCCATCCCCCAAGCGTGGCACACTGCCAGGCGTGGGGTGGGGGCCAGTGACTTGGTCCCTTCCTGTCATCACCCAGACTCCAGCTGGCTGTTTTAAATTTGGTCAAAACCCACTAAATATTAGGCATCAAGTTAAATGGCTAGGTGGGTGTCAAAATTTCACTTTTTTGATGCACATGTAGCCGTTACTTAAAGCAGCATGAGAGAAGGGCAGATTATCTCGTTTGTTCAAAAGCTGTTAATGACTTTTAAATTAAAAGAAAGACCTAACTAAGTTTAAATCTGGATAAATCTGTGCTTGTTGGCTGCGCTAGGTCAGGGGTCTTAACATGGGGCTCATGCCATGGATTTCAAGGGATTCTGCAACCCCCCTAAACTTGTGTTCCTGTTGTGGAGAGGGGTGAGCAGGAGAGTCCCAGACCCCACATGCTAAAGAGTACTGCTCTCTGATGGATCTGGCCCTCTATCAGGCCCCCCACGTGTTGAAGGAGTCGGGTCTCCCGCACACTAGCGAGGGTCAGTCCCGGGACTGGGACGATGACCAGGAGCCAGTCATCCGGCTGTCTGAAGAGCAGCTGCTGTTCCTTCACCTTGACTTGTGAATCCATGTTGACTCCATCTGACTAAAATGAAAATCACTCATGTTTTTCTACATACTGAATTTTTCCTACATAAAAATGTTTTAGCAATTACAGGAAATTAAGGTACTTTTATTGAAAAGTTTTTGGATTCCAGTTTATTTCACTGTACATTAACTGGTACATAAATCAACCATTACCTCTTTCAAATTTTTTTCTTACAGACCTGAAGACAGCAGACCAGAAAATGTGATAAAATGAAAACTATACTTTTTTTTTTTTGGTGAGGAAGATTGGCCCTAAGCTAACATCTGTTGCCAATCTTCCTCTTTTTTCTATGTGGGACGCAGCCACAGCATGGCTTGATGAGCAGCGCATAGGTCCATGCCCGGGATCCGAACCTGCGAACCCCGGGCTGCTGAAGTGGAGGGCACAAAATTAACCACTACGCCACCAGGCCAGCCCCAAAACTGTACTTTTTGAGTAAAAATCTGCATAACATGAGTTCTAATTTTTTGTATTTAATTTAAAAATTCATTTTAGTAAAATAAAAGATTAAAAGAACAAAGGCAATGCAATCAGAATGTAATTCGGAAGGTGATTAACCACTTAACAAAGATGGTTGTAAACTGGCAGAACGTTTTTCAATGCACACCTAATACTTGTAAATCATGGAAGAAAAGCATAAACTATATTAGGTCAAATTAATTTTTCCTGAATTAAGTTCTACATAGATCTTTTAAACAAAATCATAAGCAGTTTTCTGACAGCAGTTGCTTTGTAAATAACTGCATTCCAACTCAACATTTCCAGTCACATCGTTCCGGAAAGACTCATTTTAATCTGTCCAATCCAAACAGATGCTGATAGCAATGTTCTCCAAACCAGATCAAACCAAATGAAAACCAGGAAAACGGGTGATCCAGGGGCTCAGGGTTTACTTCCTAGGTCACCGCACACTCCACCCAGAGAGGTCGTTACAAGAGGGGCCCAGACAGCACACGAAGGCTTAAATATAGAGACGTTTTTAAATAACTGTCCAATTCACCTCTCTCCAGGCCAAAGTAAAGTAGAGCAAGGACCTCGTAAAAGGGGTCAGTTATAGGCTCTCATTGTAAAAAATAACATTATTCCTGCATATAAAGTAAATCATATTCTTCATACAAAAGTCAAAATCACCCATAATCCTACAATCTAGAATTAACCAGTCAACATTTGTTTCTATGTATACAATTTTGTATATAGTTGATTGTATTGTTTATAATCTGGTATCCTGTTCTCTTTCATATCATAAACTTTTTTTCCCATGTGAAAATTTCATGTACTTTTTTATGGCTGACTAATATTCTACCATATGGCTGTAATAATTTAACCATTCCCTTGGACATTGAGATTATTTCCCACTTTCTTGCTATTATACATAATGCCATAATGAGCACTGTTATCCATGAATTCTCTGCAGTTTCATTAGGGTGAGAAGTCTGACCAAAGGCCAAATGCTTCCAAGAAAGGAACAGTGAGAACCCAACAGTGGTGTGTATCTTTTTTAATCCAAAGTTTTAAAATTGTATCATTTAAATTCAGTATTCTTGGTCGTTTAAAATCATGATATCTCCATTTGATTATGTGAAAAATCTCAAAGCATCTTAGCTCTAATTAAAATTTCAGCAGAAACTAAAGTGGATATTTGAATTGAAGTAAAACCAGATTTGAGTCTTCAGTAACACAGAACACTGTTTAAAATCCAAGATTTTTAAGAAATTAGAAATCGGGCCGGCCCCGTGGCTTAGCGGTTAAGTGCGTGCGCTCCGCTGCCAGCGGCCCGGGTTCGGATCCCGGGTGCGCACTGAGGCACCACTCCTCCAGCCATGCTGAGGCCGCGTCCCACATACAGCAACTAGAAGGATGTGCAGCTATGACATACAACTATCTACTGGGGCTTTGGGGGAAAAATAAATAAGTAAAATTAAAAAAAAAAAAAAGAGTCGATCTCCATTAAAAAAAAAAAAGAAATTAAAGTATAGGGGGCTGGCCCTGTGGCGTAGTGGTTAAGTGTGCATGCTCCACTGCTGGCGGCCTGGGTTCAGATCCCAGGCGTGCACCAATGCACCACTTGTCAGGCCATGCTGTGGCAGCATCCCATATAAAGTGGAGGAAGATGGGCACAGATGTTAGCCCAGGGCCAGTCTTCCTCAGCAAAAAGAGGAGGATTGGCATGGATGTTGGTTCAGGGCTAATCTTCCTCAAAAAAAAAAAATAAATAAAGTATAAAAGAAAGCTTCTATTAGTTCTTAACTAAAATAAAAACATTGATACTGTCAAAAATATATTAACTTCTTTCTAAAGAAAGTTCCAAGCTGATCCCCTTTTATAGGCTGACATTTAAGATCTCAGTTATTCACTCAAACCACAGACATCTACCTTTAAAGAGATTATTTGGCATTTTATAATATCATACCTATTCCAATATCTTTCTAACATTTTTACAAATGATTGCTATTTTCCAGAACTCTGTTACATACATTTAAAAGAAATCAGAATGTTTCCATAGGGAAAAGAGGAAAAATAGTAGACAGAGTTACATGTATTTAAATACTCTAATTCTACTGTAAACTAGATTAATACAAAACTTGAGTAGAAAGGAGTTTATTCATAGAATACTTAAGTAAAATAGAGTTAATTCATTATCAAATGCTATATTCATTTACTTGTAATTTAAAACTCAACACAGAGTTATGAAACTTATGAAAACATAAAGCTTAATCATAAGGGTTGACTCTGTGAGGCAGAAGTTCTGGGTGCAATTGTCTGAAGTTCTAAATTCTCACATTTATCTACTTTTCTTTACAACCATGGTCTTTTGCATGATCAATCACCATAGACTTTTACTGTCTCCCCAAATCTCCTCTTAGCTCCTCCAAGCTGGGGCCAGAAAGATCTTTTCAGAACTAAAATTCTATCATGTTACTTCTCCTTCCCAAGGCAAAGCCTCCCATGGCTGCCCACCCCTGCCTGGCTTCCTCTGCAGCCCATCCCACCACTGCACCACACTCCCCAGTCCTCAGAAAGACCCAGCTCCCTCCCCTGACAGGGCATCGGATCCCCCTACCCACGCAGTTAGCTCTCTTTACATCTCAGCTTGAATTTCCTGAGACACTTTCCCTGAGCCCGTTTGGGTCAGCTCTACTTCCTGTGCGACCTGGCGGGGCTCCACCCGTCCGCCACTCTGGGTCAGATCTGCTTCCAGTGTGATCTCTCAGGGCTCCACCCGTCGGCCACTCTGGGTCAGATCAGCTTCCTGTGTGATCTCGCGGGGCTCCACCCGTCGGCCACTCTGGGTCAGCTCTGCTTTCTGTGTGACCTCCCAGGGCTCCGCCTGTTGGCTACGACAGTTGTAACTTTACTTTTATGTGATGGCGTGATTGTCTTCTCCACAAGGCAGAACCAGATTGACCTTACTCACCATTGTGTGCCCAAAACTGGCACCATCTCTGGGACCCAGAGCTACTCAAACATTTTTTTGAATGAATGAGTTTCAGGAGTGTCAAAATACTTTGCAATCTTTTTATGATGCTTTTTGTCCAAGGAGATGTGTGAGAGCTTGACCACTTTATTGACCAAGAAAACCAAAGGCCAGAGGGAGGACTTGGGCTGAGTAGTGACTGGGGAGACGAGTGTGACAGAGCATCAAGGCAGCAGGGATCTCATTAGGACGCTGGAGGTGCTCTTTGTAGAGCTTTCGATGATGATCAATGTAAAGATGCCACAAAAGAATGCTAGGATCAGATGCATTTCAAAAGCCATTAATTGGGCCGGCCCCGTGGCTTAGCGGTTAAGTGCTTGCGCCCTGCTGCTTGCGGCCCGGGTTTGGATCCCAGGCGCGCACCCACGCACTGCTTCTCCGGCCATGCTGAGGCTGCGTCCCACATACAGCAACTAGAAGGATGTGCAGTTATGACATACAACTATCCACTGGGGCTTTGGGGGGAAAAAATAAATAAAATCAAAAGCCATTAATAAAAATGATGTAGGGAAGGCATCCAAAATGGCTCCCACATAAGACAAGTCCTCTCTATGGTCCCCATTCTGATGATTTTCAAGACCTCAAACTTTCCCAGTTAGCACCTGAACTTTCAGATAAGAAACCTGGTGAGGCCATGAATACATCCTGCATTTTAACTGAGAAACCACACTTTGGGTGTGGTTCTGGAAACATCAGCAACGCGCTTTTGGGGCTACTTGTAGATGGCAGATTCTTTGACTCTGCACTGAGCTCCTCTCTTCTCTCTGTGGGCTCAGCACAGTCAGAAGGCAGTCTACCCCAGGGAGCCCTCAGAACAGTCTACTGCAAACACACAAGGATACTAGGGGTTTTAATGTTTCAGATGTTTGCTTTGAATGTCTTAAAACTACATGTAGATGGCCTGAGACCACAGCATCCTTCCACACCTTGCTTGTCCATTCAGTAGTTTGAGATTCATCTACATTGATTCGTGTGGCTCTCCTCTCATCCAGTCGCTAACTGCTGTGTGATAGTCCTTTGCATTATCTATTTTCCATGTGACTAACATTGTTTCCAAATAATACTGCGACAAGTATTCTTGCATATCTCCTGTATGTCAGTTTCTCTAGGGCATTTGATTACTTACAATATTCCTGAATATATTCTGTACCTCCTAGGCTTGTTCCTCTGTGTCAGTTTCCGTGACTAATTTCTAGACTTTGCCTAAAAGCCATCCTGGGATGGATGGGAGACAGAAATCAAACACTCAGAGAACCAGGAGCGTCCACATACTATCTCCATCAGTTAATTTCAACTTGATTAAAACAACATGGTACAGCAATGAGGCAAGGTTTGGGAGCCATGCAGACCTAGGTTTTGAATTAATGTCCTCTGCAACTAGTTGTAACTTTGAGCAATCTAAACTTTAGTTTCCTCCTCTGCAAACATCTACCTGACAAGTGGCTAGAAAGACTTGAGAAAATGGACTGTGAATCACTTAGTTCAGGGCGAGGTAGACAGTAGGTACCTAACAGTAAGATAAACTTGGATTGAAGACACTAAATTGTTATAAATTCAACTACATCGTAGCCAAAAAGCACCAGCAAAAAGATAATTACTAAAGTCAAATGTGAATGAACTTGTATTACAACTTAAAAATACACCAAACTTACAATAAATACACAGTAAATTTACAAATGTGTAGTGTAATTTTTTTTTGCTTATTTTTTTGTTAACACCTAATAAAGCTTAAGATATAATTCATATGCCATACAATTCAATGGTTTTTGGTACATTCACAGATAAGTACACTGATCACCACAATTTTAGAACATTTTCATCACCTGAAGAAGAAACCTCGTACCCAACAGCTATCACCTCCCTATTCTCCCATCCCCACATCTTAAGCAACCATTAATCTACTATCTGTCTCTATGGACATTTTGCCTATTCTGGACATTTTAGGTAAATGGAATCGTGGGAGGGGTAGTGACTGGCTCCTTTCGCTTACCCTCATGTTTTCACAATTCATCCACATTGTAGCCTACAGAAGTTACTTCACGGCTTTTTAGGACCAGACAGTATTCCATCACATGGGTGGACCACATTTTGTGTATTCATTCCGCTGATGGACATTTGTTTCCCAACTATGGCTATTATGAATACTGCTACCATAAATGTTCAAGTCCAAGTTTCTGTGTAGAGACACATGTTCAGTTCTCTTGGGTGTAGACCTAGGAGTGACACTGCTGGGTCAAACGGTATTTGTTTTCGAGGAAATGCCAAACTGTTCTCCAAAGTGGCTGCCCACTTTACCTTCCCACCAGCAGTGTGTGAGACTTCCAATTTCTCCATATCCTTGCCAACACTAGTAATAATCTGACCTTCTGAATCTATTCACACCCATCCTAGTGGGTGTGAAGCAGCATCTCCTGTTTTTCGTGTGTGTGAGGACTAGCCCTGAGCTAACATCCGACGGCAATCCTCCTCTTTTTGCTGAGGAAGACTGGCCCTGGGCTAACATCTGTGCCCATCTTCCTCTACTTTACCTGAGACGCCGCCAGAGCATGGTTTCACAAGCAGTGTGTTGGTGCACACCCGTGATCCAAACCCGTGAACCCTGGGCTGCCAAAGGGGAGCGCGAGCACTTAACCGCTGCGTCACTGAGCCATCCCTGGCATCTCCTGGTTTTGATTCGCATTTCCTTGGTGACTCACGATGGGAGCATCCTCTCATGGGATTACTGGCTATTTCTTGGAGAAATGTCATAAATATTGATGTGTACTATATGCCAGGTGCTTGGGGTCACACTGACTTTTTTCACTACACGGTATTATACTCCCTATTTTGTAAGTGGGAACTGGAGAGACTGAACTGCAGATTTGCATTTTAAATCTGTGTAATGGCACAGCCCCCGTCTGGTGGCTTCATCTTTGGTAGGCACCCATGTTTCAGCAACAGTCAGTCCGTCTGACCCCACTGTGGGCCCACCAGCCCTGTGTCAGACAGCAGACACTGCCACGCCACCACACGACAGAAAACGCAGCTCCGGGAGGCCACCTGTCGAGGTCCTCAGTAAGCGGCAGAGGCTGCTGTGAAGCCAGATGGGGGCTGCAGGGTGTGTCCCCACACCCCCTGTGCCGCCTCCATGCTCACACTTACTTGCATTTCAGTCTGCGATGAGAAGTGCCAGAAGACCCCAAACACCCTCAACATGCTGCTGGGACAGGAAATGTGGAAGAGAAACACAGGCCTGTGTAAGGAGACTGTCGAGCTACACGGACTGCGGGGACGTGGTGTCTACAGACTCCGCAGAAAAGATAGTTTTAGTACATTAGATACGATCTCAGGAGGAATAACAGCTCTTACTCCTCATAATTAAAAGGAAGGCTCCAAAAATCATTATTTTACTACACAGTTTTTATAACTGGAAGAATAAAAAATACTTTTTTAAGTATGTCTTCTTTCTGAACTCAAGCCTTTGGATTCTGTTGTGGGTTGACTTATGCCCCCTGAAAACTCCTATGTTGGGAGTCCTAACGCCCAGGACCTCCAAATGTTACCTTATTTGGAGACGGGGCTGTTGCAGATTAATCAGTTAAGATGAGGTCATGCTGCAGCAGGGTGGCCCTTCTCCAATGACTGGTGTTCTCACAAGAAAGGGAAACGTGAACGCAGAGGCGCACACAGGGAGAAGGCCGTGTCAGGGTAGGGACAGATTCTCCCTGACTCTCGGCCTCCCTCCAGTCTATGGGACTTTGTACAGCAGCCCCAAGAAACTCCGATTCCACTGCCCAGCGTGCAGGACACTGCAGCCCACAGGACACAGACCTCAACTTCATACTTCACTCCGGTGGTAAACATGAGAAGTTGTGTTTTTTTTTGGCAGGGAAAGATTTGCCCTGAGCTAACATCTGTTGCCAATCTTCTTCTCTCTTTTGTTTTCCTCCCCAAAGCCCCAGTATATAGTTGTATATTCTAAATGTAAGTCCTTCTAGTGCTTCTATGTGAACTGACGCCACAGCATGGCTACTGACAGATGAGTGGCGTGGTTCCACACCTGGGAACTGAACCCAGGCTGCCGAAGTGGAGGGCGTGGAACTTTAACCACTAGGCCACTGGCTCAAGAGGAGAAGTTTTGACGACCAAAATCAGTAATCTATACATCAAGTTACTTAAGAAATAAACCAGTATGACTGCTCCCATCACCAGGTATTTTATTGACCTAAGCCAGATATTGACAGATATTTGCTAATGTAAAAGGCAACGGCCAGGCAGAACGAAAGCTGAGGCTGCACCCTCTCACTGCAAAGACCCTCCAGCTCCCTGAGCTTCGTGTACCTTCCCAAACACTTTCTCAAAGGCCTTACAGCGTTTAAAATATGTCCACATGAAAATGACTCCATGACATTCACACACAGCAGCAAGACAAGGACGAGAGCTCAGTATCTGTACTTGGTGGAATAGTCCTTTGGAGACACGACCAGGCCACGCCCTTTCCGGGCGCCTCGGTACACGGTCTCGATGATGTCAATCATCTCCTGCTTGTCCTCCATGGCCCAGTTGATCTTGTTGTTGTTACCAGTGCCCAGGTCAATCATGATGTGCTTGTTCCTGCCAAGAGCAAAGGGGTCAATGCCCTCAAAAGTCCTCTAAAAAAGAATCCCATGAAAAAAACACCTTGCATTCCCCACTGTTACAATCTTTTTTAAACATCATTGAAGACAAGGACACACACAATCAAGAGGATACACCATGATTGAGGAGAAGACTGGAAACGACCCGAATACTATTAAAAACAAACCAACCAACCACCCACAATGCACTGTCCACCGAGCTCTGTCTGTATTTCCTTAGGACCAATATCCAACTGGGTAACCCAAGAGTCAAAGGACACAGTTTTAGTCACTTGGAAAGCCAAGTTGTTTTCCAGAGGGTTGCACTAATTTATCTGAAAAAAGCAAAGTCACGGTTTGTCATGGTGCTCTTGTGAGCACTTCTGTGTAAATTTTATTAAAAGCCCTACTAATTGTGAAATGAATATGATATTTTGCATTTCTATGATTAGGGAAGCAGATGATTCTTTACAAATTTATCTTTCAAGAGGCTACTTTTAAAATGAGTTTATATGCGCACTTTATAAAATAAAGACATTAACCCTGTTGTACCTGCACTAATTTTCCCTGGTTTGTTGAAGACCGATTTTTATCAGCTTTTCGCTTCCACAAGAGCACACATTTGGCTTCAGCCCACTATTCCACAGAAAGCCCCCATCCTGGAGTCTCCAGCTTGCCCTCCTTTCAACCAGCGAACTTCCAAAAGGCAAATGTGACGTTACTCCGCTGCTGCAAACATTCCCTTCCAGGATAACCTTCCAAGTCTTCATACTGTCCCAGGAATCTGGGGATCTGGATGCTGCCCGGCTCTCTCCTCTCACCTTCTACCCTCTCCCGACTGTCCCTTGTCAATCATTCACATTCTTGCAGGTCCCCAAACACGATATGCTGTTGCGCCTCTGTGCCCTCGCCCATGGGTCTGCCCCTGGTGGCATGCAAGTGGCTTGTTCTGAACTTACTCTGGCTGTCCTTTAGGCACTCATACCACCCTATTTGATTCGCTATTTGTGTCTCTGTAAATACCTGTCCTCTGGCACCTCCCCATTTCCCTTTGCTAATTTACTGTGACAGCAGGAACCCTGCCTTATTGGACTTAATGTCACAGCACTAGACCATAAAACCTGGTGGGACTCCATAGATATACTTAGTGAATAAGTTAACTAAAGTACTGATACTACTTGTCATAGAATTCTGGGTCACAGACACAGTAGGAGGAGGTTTCATCTCCTTTTCTGAGTGCAGCAAAAGTCCTAAAACATCAAAATACACAATCTGCCACAGCACCACCCCAACTTCCTTCTGCAACCTCCTTCCCCATCACAGCATCTCCCACCTCTCAGGTTGGCCCCAGAGAGCAGGAGATGGCCCTCACGATTCCCACCTGAAGGATTTTGGAGGCATTTTGAGGAGCATGATAGAAAAGGCCTACATTGCATAAAACAGCTGTGGACTTTAAGAACACTGCTGGTGAGGGCTCGGAGGGAAGTAGGGAATGGAGGACGTCTTTGTTACACAGCGCCAGAATACTAGCGACAGCATGTCCTGAGTCCTGTGGGAACTCAGTGATGAACTTGGATATTTAGCTGAGGAAAAACCAAGCAAAGACTTGAAGATGCTGTCTGGTTTCTTCTTGCGGCTTAGAGTAATGAGAAGAGAGACAAACTGGTGTAAGAACGGTTAGCACAAAAAGAAGAAATTCTCAGTCTCTCCAGATGGCAAAAGATGCTGAAACCCAGAAATGGCTGCTGAAGGCGTGCCATGGAGAGAAGGAAGAGGCCATGGGACCTTCTCCTGAAACTCAGGAAAGACCTAAGGGTCAGAATACTCAGTCATAAGAAGGAAAGGTATGCCTCATGGATCCTCCCCCAGGAAGCCGTGGCCAGGCAGAAGGCATCCCCCTGATGCCCAGGACAGAAACACTGCCAGCTCGGGCTGAGGGACAGAGGATGCAGTGAAAGGAGCTGATGGAACCCCAAAATGCTTCTGGCAGGAAGCAGCATGGAAAACAACCCAGCTGCAAATGCCTTTCATGAAAAACCCAGGAACACCAGGGTGGAGCACTCCCAGAGGAGGGGCATCAGGCTAGGAGGATGATCCAGCCCTCCATCAGAGCCCCCTTCCTCCTCACGTCCTGTCCCCCACGTGGATCCGTTTCTGATGCCTGTCCCACACTACTTACTGGGAGAGGTGGGGCCACAGATAAGGAGTGGTGTCCAGGAGCTATGCTTACAGCTTGCCCTAAGAAGCCTCATTCATAGGATTTTGCATATGAGGGATTGTGAATCTTGGGAGCCAGAAGGCAGAATGCAAAATCCTAAAACAACCCCATGATTTTCTGCCCTAATCCACAGGACTGTGATATGACATCATGACTATTATCTGTTACATTATACTGCAAAGGGAACTTTGCAGATGTCTCTAACGTTACAAATCAACTGACTTTAAAATAAGGAGATAATCTGGGACTATTTGGGCAAGTCTAATCCAATCACAGAGCCCCCTAAAAGCAGAACAGCAAATTGGAGAGACTGTGTGAAAAGGACTCAACTCACTGTTGCGGGCTTCGAAGATGGAGGGCCCCAGCAGACAGCCAGCAAGGCAAGAGACCTCAGACCCACCACCACGAGGAACCTGATTCAGCCAAGTGGATTCTTCCCTGACCGACTGCCCAGATAAGATCCCAACTGGTGACTGTGGTCTTGGGAGGCCGTGAGAGAGAATGCCCTGCGCCCACCTGGACTTGGACCCACAGGACCTCGAGCTCATAAATGGTGCTGTTTTCGGCCACTAAGTTTGTGCTGATCTGTTACCCAGAATACAAAGCTAACACACACCCTACACAGTCCACCCAGACCTTCCTCACCAACGAGGGAGCTCAGTTTTCGGGTACAGCCTAATGCTGACACTGCTCTTTACCAATTTTTGTGGTAACAATAAACAGTAAGAAATTCTGACAAGTAAAAACAACGTCAAACGGTGATTTCTTTCCAAGGTAAACCCCACAACAGAAATTTTTCTTTTTTACTCATGATGTAACTTTATTACATAAGTACCATCAACCGTATCTGCTGTCTACATCAGACACCTTTCTCACCTTTTCCTTTGATGCGAAGTCCGTAAGTCATGGACACACATTAATCGGAGGCAATTATGAAAATTCTATTCCTCATGCCAATAACTGACTGACTAGGGTCCACAACAGAATTTTTCAGCTGATTAAATAATCTTATATTTATAAGAAAAGTCACTAAATACAGGTTTTCCTCTTGGGTTATCACAGAAGGATGATAAATAAAGTCACTGATATCATTTTAAAAAGGAGTTATTTTAAAACAGACATTTTTATCAACAGATTTATTTATTTATTTATTTATTTTACTTATTTATTTTTTCCCCCAAAGCCCCAGTACATAGTTGTATGTCATAGCTGCACATCCTTCTAGTTGCTGTATGTGGGATGCGGCCTCAGCATGGCCGGAGAAGCGGTGCGTCGGTGCGCTCCCAGGATCCGAACCCGGGACACCAGCAGCGGAGCGCACACACTTAAGCACTAAGCCACGGGGCCGGCCCACAACAGATTTATTTAAAGGTATCTTAAATTTCAATAAGAATGTCTTCCACTTAATTACACTTCAGCTAGGTTTCTAGGCAAAGTTATTTCAAAAGGGTAATTTGTTACTGAGTAAATGCTAAAACTAGAATTTTTACTTTGAAAATTATTGAGAAGACCAGAGTGATTGCCTGGAGACACAAACTGTGTTGTGATAGGGCTGCATAACTGATCTCCTTCTAAATAGAAGAATCTGAAGATGTCTTGATTACATTAAATGTCCAGAACAACAACATTCAATTTCATTAACGACTTGAAGATAAGAGAACATACCTGAAGAAAAACATGACAGTACACGGATCGTATAACTCATACATTTTGTTGAAGTCAGGAACTTCTGTAATATCCACAAGATAAATAACTGCAAAATTTTTAACCTAAAAGGAGATTGGAAAAAAACGTGAAATAATAAATCAATTTTTTATTCTGTAAAAGCACACTAAAAAACAAAATCAAGAAACTGTGTATAACAGGACAATTTTCAAACTAACTCTCCAACATTCTTCCCAGTAGAGCTAACACACAGGAAAATAACACCACCATCAGGATCCTAAACTGGTCACTTACACCTCACTTTACCATTTTTCAGAATAGCAAGTTATGAGAATCCTGTAGAAAATGTCCACAGAGATATTATTCATGCTAACCTAGTAATAATCTATACGAACTTTTCCAAATTTGAACTTTTACAAATACTTAATTAAGTGCATTAAACAACGGCTCTAAAACATGTCTTTAGAGTTCAGCCTCACATTTATTTCTTCCACTTATTTAGGTCTGAAAACTTGCAAATACTAATATACTAGTACCCCAAATAATATTGTATACAACAAATTTTCTTTAATTTTTTTAATCGCAAGTTTATCAGAGAAGATTTAGAAAACCCAGAAAACTATAAATAAAATCACCTCCAATCCCAGCACCTAGAGTTAATTGCTGAGAATATAGTTTTAGTATATTCTTTCCCCCTTTTTTGGTATATATGTGTGTGTATATAAATATATATATATATATATAAAAATCTGTTTATACAGTTATGTACTGCATAACAACGCTTCGGTCAACATGGACTGCATACATGATGGTGGTCCCGAGATTATTACCATAGAGCCTGGGTGGGTAGCAGGCTATACCACCTACGTTTATGTAAGTATCCTCTGTGATGTTCACACAACAACAAAGTAATTTCTCAGAACGTACTCCCGTTGTTAAGCGACGTGTGACTATACTGCGTTAACAAAATACAGTCACATGGTGATCACACTACAATATTTTGTATCCTGCTTTAACAACAAGCATTCTCTTATATACTTTCCCAAAACACAATTTTTATGGCAACATAATAGTCCATCAAATGGCTATGCCATTTTTTCACCATTTTTGTTATTTCCTTTCTGATTTTTCATGAATAATTCAGACTTTTCATTAATATCAATTATTCACCTGTGAACATTCTTACCCTTAATCCGTGTACATACTTCGTTATTTCCTAAGGATAAGTTCCTAAAACAGAATCTTCGAACAAAGGTCGTGTCATTTTACGGGCTCCTTACAAATATTGTCTCAGTGCCTTCTAGAAAGCTTATACCCATTTATATGTTATGAGTTGAACTGTGTCTCCCCCATCCCCCAAAAGATATACTGAAGTCCTAACCCTTAGTACTCAGAATGCGTCCCTATTTGGAAATGGAGTTCTTGCAGATGTAACTGATTAAGGTAAGATGAGGTCACTCTGGAGTTGGGCGGGCCCCTAATCCAACCTGAACAGTGTTCTCATAGGAAAACGGCCACGTGAGGGCAGACACACAGGGAGAAGCTACGTGAACGTAGAGGACTGGAGGGATGCATCTATAGGCCACACAGGGAGCCCCAAAGACCACTGACAACACCAGAAGCTGGAAGAAGCAAGGAGGGATTCTCCCCTACAGGTCTCACCGGGAGCCCGGCCCTGTTGACACCTTGATTTCGGACTCTGGCCTCCAGATTGTGAGATGATAAATTTCTGTTGTTTTAATCCACCCAGTTTGTGGTGCTTTGTTACCGCAGCCCCAGAAAACTCATACAAGATACACGAGCCTCTTCATATACAACTAAGTCTAAAAATCTGACTGTAATTTACAGATGAAATAACATGGTATCTGGGATTTCCTTTAAATACCGCAGCATAAAAAATGCTTGAGGGGTGAGATGGCACAAGACTGTAGAAGCTGAGCGACAGGTAAGGAGGACTTCACTATACTCTCCTCTCGACGTTTGAGAACATTAAAAAATATTTAGTATGGAAATTTAAACCACCACCACCACCACAAAGAGGAAGGAAGGAAGGAAGTTCACATTTAACGAGGACCCCTCTTGCCCCATGGCCTTGGTAGGGAGGAAACCGTAACAAAAGCCTCACGCTTGGCTGTGTGTGAGTGCTCTGACACCACCACAGTCCCCACTGTCCCCAGGCCGTTTTCAAAAGCCTCAAGGCAGCGTCCGTGCATGTCCACATCACCTGAACTCGTCTTGGTCTGATCTCATGCCCTGAGAACATGTTTCTGAAACTCTGGCTTCCTGTGGTGCCCACAGTAAGAATGTGTCAGTCAGGTCAATTGAACCAGCTTTATTTTCATGGTGAACTCACAAATTGCATTCTGGTTTTATTTAAAAACAAAACAAAAACTGCACCACAGACGTTAAGACTATACACGGTCACAGGCAGCCGGAAAGCAGGTCACACCTGGACTCACTTTTGTCCCTTCAATGCCTCGCTCAGTGACAAATGTACAAAATAAATACCAGTAACGATTATTACATTAAATATGAACTTATGGAATCACCATGTAAATATTCAATTATTCTAAAACTCAAACGAACAGGGTTGTAAGTTTGAACTATAGAAAAAAGTAGAATCACAAGTTTGTATCATCCTTTTTTCGTGTATGTGAACAATATCAAGTAACATAAATACTGAAATTTAACAATCACAAGACAACTGAATAAATGAAACTTGCTTAAAGCTGCAAATATCTATCTCCTTCTGCCTTCCAGTTCCGTCTGGTCCGTGGCAGCTACCTCCTCATCTGAACCCTAACAGAAGCAAAGAACCAGGTTAAGTGCACTCACCACAGGACTTGAATACGCTCCTACTCCACCCAGTCCACAGACTGTCCAGTGAACACCCGAGAATCCACTCCACGCAAGGCACTCCTCACTCCTGATTCTTTCAACACCCCTAAACAGAGACATTACTAATGCTCTGTGTGTGATGAAGTGAAGGCTCGGAAGGTGAAGCGACTCCAGGCCACAAGGGGACGCAAACGGCAAACCTGAGGCTCACCAAGTCTGGCTCCAACCCCAACCTCTGGATGAGATTTCCTACCCAAGTCGAGAAGGAATTAGCCTGCCCAGAGGGGGCAGGAGGCCTGGGAGGGTGGGGAATTGGTCAGGCTCAGAGCTGCACGTGTAAGACACAGATGCAAGAAAGAACAAGCCCAGGGGCTGGCCTAGTGGCACACTGGTTAAGTTAACAAGCTCCACTTCGGCGGCCCAGGGTTCATGGGTTCGGATCGTGGGCACAGACCTACACACCATGCTGTGGTGGTGTCCCACATACAAAATAGAGGAAGACTGGTACAGATGCTAGCTCAGGACCAATCTTCCTCAGGAAATAAATAAATAAATAAATAAAATACTTTAAAAAAAGAAAAGAAAGAACACGCCCAGTGCAGAGGTGGCACCTGGAACAGTGGCTCAGAAGGGAGAAGGGGAGCCTGAAACGCAGGCAGGGACCCTGCAGGCTTAAGAGGCCGGGGTCAGTTATTTACCTATAAGGAAGGAGAGTTGAAGAGCTAAGTTTTATACAAACCAACCTGAGAAAAGTAAGGAGCGTCTAGAGAAACGTTCCTACACGGAGTGACCAGACACCACTGCCGTCCGCATCCAACAGTGACCAAGCCAAGATGTGGACAGCCGGAAGCCCACAGCAGAGCCCAGGGCAGGAAAGGGATGGCCGGAGAGGCACACCAGGAAAGGCACACTCACAATACGAGAGGACGGACTCCTCCAAGGAGAGAGCTGGGTCAAGTGCCACAGAGGGGTCAAGTCAGGTGAGGCCTGAGAGGCGTCTGTGACTCTGGCTACTGGAAGGTCACGAGTGGCAGGGCAAGACAGCACAGGGCGGAAGCCATGCAGAGGTCTGACCAACAGAAGGCGTTAAGTATGGACACCTCCTGCTAGGAGCTTGGCTATGAGGAGAGGGAAGCCGCTGAGGGACTTAGGTGTTGAGGCAGGGGAGGAAAAGACGTCTCTCCCAGCCACCCCACTTCCCTCTCTTCCCAGTGAAAGAAGGCAAGGCGTCTGTGCAAAGGAGAGAAGAAGTGAGTTGCAGGAACGTGAGTTGAGCACCAAATGTTCAAATAACCTGTTGAAATAATTTCATGGTCACCACGGCCACTCAGGTGACGGGGGAAAAGCAACCACTCAACCCGCTGCACAACTGTATCTCGGCAAAAGTCACCCCCCTAGTTTTTTAGGGTTCTGCCGACATCCAAATTTCACTAGAAAGCAGAGACACTTTCTTCTATTACTTCTCACATAATAAAACAAAGACATTATGATTTAAAATGATAGATATTAACATTAGAGTATAACCACACACACACACAGACCTGTCTCCTAAAGCAGAAATTGCCACTCCAATGAAAGCCCAAGACGCCTTTCAGATTCAACGTGAATGATTTAGCTAACTGGTTCTGGTTCCTGGAACCTCCACATCTCCCAAGTTACAGCAGAAATTGACATGAGAAACCATATCCTCTTAAAAGTGACTAAAATACATCTCATCTATTTCATATGAGGACATTCAACTACCCCAACTAAACAATGTCATAAGATTTTCACACTGTAAATGCTGGTTTTCATAGCTCGATAACTTTAACAAAGGCCTTATTTCCCTTTGCCCTCAATGATAAGAAAACTGTAGCTCATTCAAAGTAAAATAAACCACCAAGTGACACCACAGTACTTTTTCCCTTCCTCTCTACATAAACTACATTATGGTGCTTCAGATAAATGTGAAGCCTCCAAGGCGAGGAGCCACATCTGCTGTCTTTTCTGGGGTGTCCCCAGAGTACCTGACACACACGGCACGACTAAATATTTACTCAACGAATGAACTTCAACAATAAACTTTTATTTCAAAACTCAAGAAACATATTATCGTCACTAAAAATGTGTTTTTGGACAGTATGGGCTTACTGATATGATACTGAGCTCTAACCCATCTTCTCCTTCAGAGGCAGTGCCCTGACAGGGGTTCTCAATTGCTGCAGCTGGAACACTTGTGGGAAGGAAGGGACCACCAGCATGGACGTCGTTCACCAGTCTACGCGGCCATGAGCCTGTGCCAACACAGTGCCGGGCGGCCTTGCTCTCCTGAGCCCTCCCACTTCTCTCCTCTGGAGAAGCTCCCATCTGTCAAAGCTTCTCCTAAGGTAGGTTGTAGGGATTCTGTCGTGATGCCTTCCACATGGTCTGAACTTTTCCTCCGGAACATTTCACATCCGTTAACGAATCTGCAGTTAACAAAATCTCTGTATATTTTTTATATAAAAATGAAATTAAGATAGGGTGTCTACTTATCTTTCCTCCATTTTGAAAACATTCATTTTGAAAACATAAAATGGAATGGAAAAACCACTGCTTTGTATCCAGTCCAGTATTTTTTAAACAAGTTATATAATTAAAAAAAATATGAATCAAATAAACCAATAGTATCTTAGTGTTTTAAAGTGGAAACTGCTTCCTCTTCCCCAGACACACATGCTCCCTGTGAGGAGATCCTATACATTCTGCTTTTCTCCAGCTGAAATTATAACAAATGTTTCCCCACGTTACTAAATAAAGCTCTTAGAAAATAATGTTTAATGGCCAAATAATATTCCATTCAGTGGCATGGATGTTCCCAGTTTAAAACCCAAACTTCTCCATTTCCGAGCCCGGACAAATTACTTGCTAGCCTCAGGGAGCTGTCATGGGGTCCACACAGGGTCAGTTTCCTACCTCGCATTGTAACTGACCCGAGTCCTCAAAAACCAGAGATTATGGTCATTACCACGTTCTCCTATCACCAGACATTGTAGTTGTTTCCAATTTTGCTATAAATTACAGCAGAGGTCTCATGGAGCATAAGTTTGCCTACCGAAGAGGCGTAAGGCGTGACTATTAAGGCTTTTCACACAACGCCAAGCTGCTGCCCAAGAGGATGTTAACAGTTTTACTCCTCCATGAATGTTAAATCGACTCTCACCACACCGCAATAACTCAACATCTTTTTATCTCTGATATATCCAAAAAAGGACAGTGCACTGTTTTAACGTGTATTTCTTAGAAGTGTACTTAACCAGTGGAATTTCCTCTTTTTCAAGTTCTTTGCCCATTTACCCATGGGAGTCTTACCTTCTTAAATGGTACTTTAAACTTATTTGCAAAAGTCTATTACATCTAAAATAACATTTTGCCTACTCTATGTGTAATAATCTTAACCGGCTATTGATTAGCACTTTTTTAAACCAAGAACCACATGTACCAATTTCATTTCTCTTATCAGGCTGCTCTGTATCACACACGTTCTTTTGCTCGCTCGCAACAGTAGACACCCTTCCTGACCCTGTTGCCTGCATATTTCATAAAGACACTTTCTTTTTCTTAGCAAGTCAGGGATTCAGCTGCTGAGCAGTCCTTTGCACGCCACTAAATCCATCTCCAAGTTAAAGTAACTCATGCAAACCACTACGACTGACAGCCGGGACGCCCACCACCATGCCACCCTTTTGTATGGAGCGCCTCCACCAGCTAAGAACCCATCCAAAATTCCAGAAAAAAATGTTCTAGACTGTCAATTGGCACTATATATTTCTGAAGTGTCAATTTTTACATTTTTAGGTAATTCATTTCAAAGCCACCAAAAAACTGCATAACTTTTTTTCTAAAACTACTATGTGCCCTGATTCTCTACTCACAATAACACTTGCAAATATTGTGATGTGAGAGAGACAAGGGTAATAATAATATTGGCTAATGATTACTGAATACACTACTTGCTATGTGACAGAAAATGTTCTAAAAGCCTTTTATATTAACTTAATTCTCACAACTACCCTATGAGTCAGGGACTATTATCCCTTTTTACAGATTAGTAAAATGAGGCACAGAGACAAACCATTTAAGACCATATAGGCAGTAAGTGGCAGAATATAGCTCGGTCTGCACCCCTAACCTCTGCTCATACTGTCCCTCATAGCTTGCTGCTAGCTACAAGGTTGTTATATCCAGAGACACAAATCCATGGTGAATACAAAAATACATGCATTCTGTTGGTTCCTATGAGATTCCTCATCTGACTGAGCATCGAAGTTCCACTGTTTCAACTGACTATATGTGATGCTTGAAAATGATCCCCTAAAATCACTCCTAAAAAGTCCCATAAATATATTTGGCCTTACATACAATTTAATTAGAATGTACAATCATGAGTCAATATCACTGAGGTTTTACGTATTTCAAACTCTATTTGTATGGGCTTTTTAACACAGAATTAAACAACCCATTTACTCTTACCCATCATGGGATTTAGCTAACAGGAGCTGTGACAAACTGTGTTCCTACAAAATGGGAAGACAGCTCAAGCTACCTGAAACAGTCTCTCTCTGAAGCTGTGCATAAAATCAGCTACTAAACAGGAAACTTTGTTCTTATCACTCTACCAAACTCCAGACATCTTTAAAATCTTTAAGCATATCTCAGTGTTTTCAATACAGCTCACAACTAATCCAGCCAAGGTGGGGCTGCCCCTGTCCAAGCACCAAGTCAACACACCACATTCCAGGAGAAACAGTATAATCAAGTCCAGCCTGCACATTGGAAAGTTTACTCACTTTAAAACAGCTGGGATATCCAAACGGGGCTCGGAACAAGATGAGGAAGATCCCCCATTATCTGCCATTTCTGCAGAGGGAGATTTTTAAATAGAGAGTTAAATTGTTCTTTATACTAAAACCTTAAACTTCAAAATTTCCTGTTGAGCTTCCCCAGCAAGGGCTTTCAGAATTATAAACTCATATCTTCCCCTTATACTAACAAGAAAATAAAATATTAATAGTCTTGTAAAGCATTTGAAGTTTGCATTTTCAGTAACCATACTATAATACAGCATTAAAACTTTATTAAAATAGAAATCCAGGGGCAGGCCTGGGTGGTGAAGTGGTTAAGTTCACGCACTCCACCTCAGTGACCCACGGTTGGCAGGTTCAAATCCTGGGCTCGGACCTACACACTGCTCATCAAGCCATGCTGTGGCAGCGTCCCACATATACAGTACAGGAAGATGGGCACGGATGTTAGCTCAAGGACCACCTTCCTCAGCAAAAACAAGACGACTGGCAACAGATATTGGCTCAGGACAAATCTTCCTCACCACTCCCCCCCCCCTCCCCAAAAAAAAGAAAGCCAAATTTTTGGACAAAAGAAAAAGAGTAACTTAAAAGACCAAAAAAATTTTCAAAGTGAGCCCAATTAAACTGTTCTTATCAATATGTTCAATACCAAAGACCATATCTACAAGTGATACAGTGATCAGTCTACACATAAAGGGATCAGAAAAGCACTCTGGTAAAAGCCCCTAAAAACTTACGTTAACACACAAACTGTCTCCTAGCTAAGAGCATCTTGCTGAGTTTTGCTCAGACATGAAGAGCCACACGACCCTCACGTCTCTAGCATCCTAGCCTCGTGCTGAGGCCAGCAGGATCTCGACATCACCTGGTGTTTATGCCGCCACCTGCAAGGCAGAATCCAGAACACACACCCCAAGTTATTTCAAAGTCAACACAGCAACAGTTTGGTTATTGGAAAAGTGCTCTTGGTCACTTCTCCACTGAATTCAGCAGCACCTGCCCTTGACCGCTACAGCTAAGTAATGCATAAACAACTCCCTGGCACCACCTCACCCACGACCTCCAACCCTGACTGGGAGGACCCCAGTGTGACTGAACTGCTGCTCCCCGGAGCTCCCCAGGCAGCTGTGCAAGGTCCTCAACGTCTGGGGTCCAAGAGAGAGAGGAGGGTGAGTGGCTCTGACCCCGACCTCCACAGAGGTCACATCAGAATCCCCAGGGGAGCTTCTTAAAAACGCCATTTCTGGACCTCAGCCCAGACCTAGAGAATCAGAATCTGAGATGCACCTGAGAAGCAAGCATTCCAAGTGACACTCATGACAACTGAAATATAAGGACCATCCCTACTGCCACCACCCCTCGCTCTGCCTCACCTACCAAATCGGAGATAGTAAAAATTAGCAATGTTTGTCCTTTCCTGAATACAAAATACATCCTTACAGCTGTTACTATTTACTCCAAGGCATTACTTTAACCCAACCTATATCAGCATCTCCTATTCCTGTGAAAGAAAAGACAGCTTCAAGGTTTCCATTAGTTTTACCCTTCATTAAAACAACTGATCTCTCAAATTATCTATGGAATGTTAATAAGTTAAATATTTTATTAACACTAATATATTTGCCTTTTCCCTATTGCTACATTTGCAAAAGCTCAAATCAAAGCTATCTTCAAGTCACCCTGGGAAATCATTTATAGAGAAGAATTAAGGCCCCGGTTATATAAGAGTGCCCCGCAATTGCACTTTCATTGTCAGCAAACAATGGCCACAGACAACCCAGTGTACTAATATTAAAAACTAGGGAAACCAGCTCTAACAAAGCACAATTCCGTGTTCTCCTGATGTTTCCTGCATTTGAATCATTCTAAGCTATAAACCAAGTGACGCACAAAATACATGGTGGAGTAAAGAAAAAAAGAACCAAAAGAAAAGAATAGGACATACTATGTTATTAACATAAACATTCTGTTTTATAAATACAACAAATGAACCGTGATACCAAAATAAGGACAATCCTTTTAAACTCCAAGCTCTTGCCAAAGTCTGCAAATCTGTTTTGTGCACAGCACTATGACGTAAATTTTGAAAAAAGCCCTACCAATAAGAACTAACTTGTTTAGGGAGAGGGATCACGAACCTCTTTAAAATCTGAAAGTCTATGGAAACTTCTACCAGAAAGAGACACCAGCTATTCCGCACGATTTCAGAGACTCTGTCCGTATATCAATCCTGCTGCTTCTCTTTATTTGGTGAACGTGTTGCACACTGGAAAGTCAGCCATGAAAAATGAGTACAGACGCAGTTTTTTAATCTCACTTTTAAATTCTACTGCCAACGAGCCAAGTAAAATAAATTACACACACCGAAATGACCCAGCCGAGAACGGAACGCCACGTGAAGCAGCGGGGCCGCGTTACCTTTTCGGCTATACTGTAGAGAACCTCGTCCATTTTCATACAGGTAGGGTCCCAGTCGTGTCCAAACCGAATGACGACCACTCGGTCCTCCTCCGAAAGGATGGCCTGGTCCACCTGCCAGCCATTGTGCAAGTGCGGAAGCATGTACGACATCCTGAGGCCGATGGTACCTGCGAGGGAGGGCCTCCATGTCCCAGCCCTTCCAGCTCGACCGCAGACCCCTCGCCGGGGGCTTCTCCCACAGGAGGCGGCTGCCGCAGGGGCCCGGGTCCACCCCCACTCCCGCCCCCACAGGCCCAGGTCAGTCCCACTGCAGTGCAAGGGCTGCCGCACGGACCCGGGTCCGCCCCTACCCCCACGGGCCCAGGTCAGTCCAGCGCGGGAAGGGGCCCAGGGCCGTTGCGTCCACTCGCCCACGCCCCCACGGGAACACCACAGCCCGGCGCGCCGCCCGCCCCGCAGCCAGGATCCCAGGGCGAGGGGACCCCGGGCCGCACCCCAGCCCCTCGCCCCCGCGCCCCTCCTCCCGGGATCCCCGGCCACCCCGCCCCGCCCCGCCCCGCCCGCACGCACTCACCTCCGCCAACACATGGACCTCCGGGGCAGCGGTTCCGCCGGGCGTGGACACACGTCGGCGTGTGCTTGCGCGCTGACGCGTGCGTGCGTGCGTGTGTGCGCAGTGCGTGCGCGTCCCTAGTCGGAGCGTTGGCGCTGGGAGGCGGACTCTGGGTGGGCGGCACGGGTGGCCTTTGGGAGGGGTGCTGCCACGGTCGGGAGGGGCGGTTCTACCGGACCGGCTGTCGCTGCAGTCAGGGCGTCAGAGGGACCGAGCTGCCCGCGACGCCACCGTCACCCCGGGGTGTGGACAGAGAGGACCACCGTGACCCCAGGGTGGTGCTTGACCCGAGGACCACTGGGATCCCGGGGGGGCTAGACCCGAGGACCACCGTGCCCCTCGAGGGGGAGTGGACAGAAAGGACCGGTGTGACCCTGGGGGGGGCTAGACCTGAGGACTACCGTGACCGGGGGTGGGGTGGGAGAGGTGGACAGAGAGAACCACTGTGACACGGGGTGGTGGGGCTAGAGTGGAGAGGATACCGTGACCCCCGGGGGGGGGGAGGGGTGGACAGAGAGGACCACTGTGACCCGGGGGGGGGGCTAGACCTGAGGACCACCGTGACCCCGGGAGGGCTAGACTGGAGAGGACACCGTGACTCTGGGAGGAGGGGAGGTGTGGACAGAGAGAACCACGGTGACTTTGTGGAGGGGAGGGCTAAACCTGAGCACCACAGTGACCCCGGAAGAGCTAGACTGGAGAGGACCACCGTGACCCCGGGGTGGGGGGTGGGCAGAGAGGACACCGTGACCCCGGGGTGGGGGGTGGGCAGAGAGGACTACTGTGACCCTGGAGAGGGGAGGGGGCTAGACCTGAGGACGACCGTGACCCCGGGGGGGGGGGGCAGACCGGAGAGGACCACCCGGGGGGGGGGTGCTAAAACAGAGAGGACACCGTGACCCCGGGGCAGAGGAGGGGCGGGGAGGTGGACAGAGGACCACCGTGACCCCGGGAGGCAGGAGTAAGGGCTGGACCGAGAGGAAGTCACCGCTGAGGAAGGGCTCGTCTTGTTCCCTCCCACACGAAGTCCTTAAAATTAATCATTTTGGCAGTCATGCTTTCCAAACAGTTGCTTTACTTGTCAAAAGCAGTTTTTAACGGAAGAGTACTCCAAGCTAAGGCATAAGACTCAAATGCCCCAAAATAATTTATTGAAACCAGTATTTTAAAACATTTTTTATCGTAAAATATATGTAAAAGTTACCCATTTAACCATACTTAAGCATATAGTTCAGTGGTATTAAGTACATTCACATGGTTGTGCAACCATCACTAATACCATCTCCAGGTACCTCTTTTTGTTAAAAAGCTTTGTTGAGATGTCATTTATGTAGCATAGGATTCACCCATTAAAGCGAGGTAGTTTTTCAGAGTTGTGGAATCAACACTACAATCTTAGAAAATTTTCATCACCCCCAAGAAATTCTGTATACATTAGCAGTTACCCCCATTTCCCTCCCACTCCTTCAGTCTCTGGCACCCACTAATCTGTTTTCTGTCTCTATAATTTGCCTATTCTAGACATTTCATATAGATGGAAACACATAGCATGTAACATTGTCTTTTGTGACTGACAACGTCATGTTCTCAAGGATGGTTCACATTGTAGTAGGCATCAGTACTTAGTTCCTTTATATTGCTGATTAATACTCCATTGCATGGATACACTGCGTCTTATTTATCCACCACTTGACATCTGCACTGTTTCGCTATTGTGAATAATGCTGCTTTGAACATTTGTATACAAGTTTTTGTATTGACTTAATTTTCATTTCTCTTGGTATATATGAGTGGAATGGCTGGATCATATGGTGAGTATGGTTAACATTTTGAGGAATTTCCAAACTGTTTTCAAAAGTGGCTGGACCATTTTATATTCCCAACAGCAATATGTGAGGGGTTTGATTTCTCTACGTCTTTGCCTACACTTGTTTTTTTATTATAGCATCCTGGTGGGCGTGAAGTGATGTCTTATTGTGCTTTTGACTTGCACTTCCCTAAGGATTAGTGATATACAGCATCTTTCCATGTACTTCTTTTTCATATACCTTCTTTTGCATGTGGATGTCCAGTTGTCCCAGCATCATTTATTGAAAGGATTATTCTTTCCCCATCAAATTGCCTTGGCAGCCTTTTGAAAATCAATTGACTTTAAAGTATGTATTTCTGTAGTTTCAATTCTATTCCATTGATCTGTATGTCTAGCCATTTGTCAGTACCACACTATCTTGATTAGTGTACCTTTGTAGTAAGTCTTAAAATCAGGAAGTGTGAGTCTTCTTTGTTCCTTTTCAAGATTGGTTTGGCTATTCTGGGTCCCTTGCATTTCCATATAAACTTTAGGATTAGCTTTTCAGTTTCTGCACAAAAGGCAGCTGAGATTTTGATAGGGATTGTGTTGAATCTGTATACCAATTTAGAGAGTACTGCCATCTTAACAATATTAAGTCTTCCAATCCATGGATATGGGATGTCTTTCCATTTATTTAAGTCTTCTTTAATTTCTGTGACTTTTACATTTCCCAGTGTTCACATCTTACACTTTTTTTTCTTTTTTTTTTGGCGAGGAAGATTAGCTCTGAGCTAACATCTGTTGCCAATCCTCCGTTTTTTTGTTGTTTGTTTTTGTTTGTTTTTTTTTTTTTTTGCCGAGGAAGATTGGCCCCGGGCTAACATCCGTACCCATCTTCCTCTATGTTATATGTGGGACGCCTGCCACAGCATGGCTTGATAAGCAGTGTGCAGGTCTGCACCCAAGATCCGAGCCTGCGAACCCCGGGCCGCCAAAGTGCAGCATGCGAATTTAACCACTATGCCACCGGCCTGGCCCCTCATCTTGCACTTTTTTTTTTGTTAAATTTATTCCTAAGTATTTTATTCTTTTTGATGCTATTTAAATAGAATTATTTTAAATATATTCAGATTATTCATAAGTAGTGTATAGAAATACAATTGATTTTTGTATGCTAATCTTGCACTCTGCAACCTTGCTGAACTATTTATTACTTCAAATAGTAATAATTAGTGGATTCCTTTACATTTTCTATATACCAGATCATGTCATGTGCAGATAGAGACAGTTCTACTCCTTCCTTTCCAATCTGGATGTTTTTTATTTTTTCTTGCCTAACTGCCCTAGCTAAAAAAAAATCCTGTATAGTAACCCCCTCTATCCTCAGGGGATACATTCAAAGACCCCCATTGGATGCCTGAAACCACAGATAGTACTGAACTCTATCTATACTATGTTTTTTCCTATACATACATACCTAGGATAAAGTTTAATTTATACATTAGGCACAGTAAGAGATTAACAACAATAATAATAAAACAGAACAATTATACTGTAAAAAAAAGTTACTGTAGATCTTAGTAGCCTCAGCATATGATTTTTTTATCTTTCATTAAGTCAAGAACTTGCACCTTTTCACCTAAAGGAAGCACTTTACAGCTTCATTTGGTATATCTGAATTATCAGCACCTCTACTCTTGCACTTTGGGGCCATTCTTAAGTAAAATAAGAGTGACTTGAATATAAGCACTGCAGTACCACGACAGTCAGTCTGATAACCAAGAGGGCTGCTAAGTGACAAGTAGTATATACAGCGTGGATCTGCTAGAGAAAGGGATGATTCATGTCCCAGACAGCATGGAGCAGGATGGTGTGAGTTTTCATCATGCTACTCAGAATGGCATGCAATTTAAAACTTATAAATTGTTTATTTCTGGAATTTTCCACTTACTATTTTTGGACTAAGGTTGACCTCGGGTAACTGAAACCTCAGAAAGCAAAACCATGGATAAGGCGGGACCACTGTACAATGTTGAAAACAAGTGGCACGAGCAGACATCTTGTCTTGTTCCTGATCTTAGGGGCAAAGCATTCAGACTTGCACTACTAAGTAATAGTGTTTGCTATGGGTTTTTCACAAATGCCCTCCATGAGGTTGAGGAAATTCTCTTCTATTCCTAGTTTATCATGAAAGGGTGTTGGGTTTTGTCAAATGCTTTTTCTACATCTATTGAGATCATCATGTGGGTTTTGTTTTCTGTTCTTTTAATATGGTGTACCACATTGATTTTTATATGATAAACCAACCTTGCATTCCTAGGATAAATCCTACTTGGTCCTGGCAATTTTTAAAAATATGTTGCTGGATTTTGTTTGCTAGTATTTTATTGAAGATTGTGTATTATTCATAAGACATATTGGTCTGTAGTTTTCTTGTGGTACCTTTGTCTGATCTGGGTAATAGTGGCTTCATAGAATGAGGTGAAAAACCACCAAAATAGCCAAAGGAAATTGATTATTTGGCCAAGCTCCCCATCCCTCCTTCCATTCCCTCAAAAAGTATCTGAACATCCAGAAAAGGGCAACAGACTAACTCACCTCTGGGTGAGTCAAACATCTTGAATTACATTTTATCTTTAGAAATTGAGTTCTTCATTAAAAAATATGACTAAACATAAGTATCAAATAACGCAGTCTGGAATTCTCAAGCAAGAGCAAGACAGATGTCTGGTGGGAGAAGGTGTCCCTATGTGGCCTCATTAGGAAAGGATACACATGTCCAGAGTGCCCATTCCT